CGTTGCTACCGCTATTGTAAAAACAAGCCCTATTTTAAGTCGCGGTTTTGCGGTGGTGTCCCAGATCCAAAGATCCGAATCTTTGATTTGGGCAGGAAGAGGGCTCGTGTCGATGACACTTTAGGGTCTGTAAGGAACAGATTACTTCACTGATGCACGTTGGTCACAAACCCAAGTGAGATAGGTGGTATCACACATATGAGAGAGATCTATTTCCAGGTCTGTGATTGGCTACCCCGAATCCATGGTGATGAGTGAGTGAATGAGTTTGATTTTACGCCGCTTACTCCGCTTTTAGCAATATTCATACATTCTACCCATGTGGGGAATCGAACCCGGATCTTCGACGTGACGAGCGGACGCTTTAACCACTATCGCCTTGTTAATGGACAGGTATGACAGAAACATTTTGCGTTGACGTGACGACGAAGAATGTAAGGATATTAGGATGAATGACGTAAAACGGCCGTTGTGTTATGTATTAATACGCCCATGGGGTGATGAAAATAGGCGGAAACGTATGTCGATTTGATAAAACTGTGCCCTCATAACGAGTGTGGAAACAGATTGCTTCACTCGTGCCTGTTAGGTACTATTTATCATACAACTCGTTGTAAGATAAATGGTAACTGACAGCCACTCGCGAAGTAATCTCGCGTGGTAATCTCTGTGCATATATGTGTCCAAATATTTCAACGGAATGCACTAGAGTTCAAAAGGACCTTTGTGGCTTCATGTTTTCATCCCGAACTAAGTCACTGTGATGAAACCAAAATCCTAAAATCCGTTCAAATTAAGCCTAAAGGCACTCCAGTTGAGTGAGTGAGTTAAAATTAAACGTCACATCGGCAATATTTCACTCCAGTGGAAGATGGCGTCGTGGTATCCCGTATTCTATCAGTTCCCTTTGACGACTTATTTTGGTAAGGTATATTTTTTTCTAGACGATGGAAGATCGAGACGAAAGTAATATTTTTAGCGATTAAAGGGAGAGTCGTGCTTTCAAATATCTCTTTAAAAATATGGTATGGATTTAATTAGGCTCTTCATATTGATCAGAGGAATGTTCTCGGTATTTTCCCCATGTGGTATGTTGGCGAATATATTTAGTCGTCTTGAAATGCAGCACCCATCAAATATATACTTTGTTGGCATTGGGGAAAAACGCCACAAAGAAAACATTGAACGTCGCAAGTACATCATGCATTTCTACAAGATGAAATTGCCCAACCTCTTCTAAGGAGATTCAAGGGTCTGTTTAGAGGGTATTCGGGACCCAGCAGTGATGTACGTGGTATACGAGGATTTGTGTAAATGGCATTCGGCACTCAGCAGTGTGATGATGCCAGAGACCATATAATAGAATAGTCTCTGATGATACGCTGGACTCTGGAGTGGTATTGGGACTATCAATGTGGTACGCGGGATTTGGGGTCTGTTTAGAGGTTATTCGGGACTATCAATGTGGTACGAGGAATTTGGGATCTGTTTAGAGGGTATTCGGGACTATCAATGTGGTACGGGGGATTTGGGGTCTGTTTAGAGGGTATTCGGCACTATCAATGTGGTACGAGGGATTTGGGGTCTGTTTAGAGGGTATTCGGGACTATCAATGTGGTACGAGGTATTTGGGATCTGTTTAGAGAGTATTCGGGGCTATCAATGTGGTACGAGGGTTTTGGGATCTGTTTAGAGGGTATTCGGGACTATCAATGTGGTACGGGGGATTTGGGATCTGTTTAGAGGGTATTTGGGACTATCAATGTGGCACGCGGGATTTGGGATCTGTTTAGAGGTTATTCGGGACTATCAATGTGGTACGAGGAATTTGGGATCTGTTTAGAGGTTATTCGGGACTATCAATGTGGTACGAGGGATTTGGGATCTGTTTAGAGGGTATTCGGGACTATCAATGTGGTACGGGGGATTTGAGGATCTGTTTAGAGCGTATTCGGGACTCAGTCGTAAGGTACACGGGATTTGAGGTCTGTTTAGGGGGTGTTCGGGACCCAGCAGTAAGGAACGCTGGATTTTGTGGTCTGTTTAGAGGGTATTCGGCATTCAGCAATGTGATACGCGGGATCGGGGTCTGTTTGGAAGTATTCGAGAATCTGAAGTGTGAACATTTTATGAATAGGGATCATGAAAGATATACATAATTACCAACCATTAGAGTTAGATAAGTGTTGACGACAAAACATCCTACCTCAAAATTCTAAAGCCTGTAAAATGTAACACCAAGCCGTATCGTTTGCTGTAGTACCACAAAATCCATTCCTGATTTGACACTTCCCAAGAATTGTCCATGTTTCACAGTCTGTGATAAGCAGACCATGGAACATAGCCTACGCCAAGTAACCATATTTTTTTACGATCTGCCTCGTTCATTAAGTCCAAGAACAACAGGCGTACCACATCGATTGGTTCGAAATCGCTCTACGAAATCGACCTTAAACTGAGAATCAAATGTAAACTTTCACAAAGCTATCGGGTTATGAGTTATGGGTCAGACGATTAGAAATCGTCGATATTCAACTCATCTCCATGCTTGGTGGCTACGCTTTACCGTTTCTTACAAATAGCCATTTGCGAACAGACGTCAATTGTGTACGTGATGTCAAAAAGTTGGGTAGTCGTCGCTGGTCAGGTGGCATGTTTTCAGATGAGTCCCAATTCACTCTGCGCTTCGTCTGCGCACTCTGCGGCCGTCTTCAACCTGGTTCCCTGGGTCTGTTGCGCCTGCGCTAACGCTCCTACTGTGTTGGAGCTTTAGCGCAGGTGCAACAGACCCAGGGAACAAGGTTGGGTCGTCTTTGGTGACGTCGAAATCGACGTCAAGCCGATGTCAACCTGAAACCTTGTAACAAAGGTGTTTAGCGTGTCCAGTACAACATAGATCATACCCAGAAGTGTGCGAAGATCATACATTCACCCTGGACATCCAGCCTAAGCTTGTTTTGGACAAATGACCAACGTATTGCTTGGTGAATATCATAATCACCACTTGTACTGCCATTGAAATTTCTTTGCAGTATCAGGTCTTTGAATGACATTTAGAAGTGATGCATATGACGAAGAGAATTTATGGATGTCAGCTTCTTTGTTATGAGGAACATCAAGTTTCGGAGTATATCCTTACTCCATCAGGTGAATGAATGGTATGAGGCAGAGACCCTATGATTAAATCCCGGTTTCCATCTTTCCACTGTTCATCACCTATCAACACTATTTAACTGTTAAGTGTTGGCTTCCATTGTTTAGCCTGCATCTTTGTTGTGTTAATACTTTCGTTGTTCTTACATTCACATATATACTAGCTACATAAAGAAACTGCACACAGAAAATTCCTTCAGAATTAGAATACAACACAGAAAAGACGAAATGATAGAGACACTTTATAAGCTGAAGTATCGGACCACAACAAAATGTCAAAAGAACATGAACAAAATCCGTAACGATGACGTCAGAAGTTCAAAATCGAGTAGGTGGTCACATGACGAAGTCACAAAGTCAATAACGGGTATGACCATCCTGCGCGTGAAGCACAGCAGTGCATCGACAACGCATAGGGGCTACCAAATGAGGATTGAAGGCCTGGGGAATGGTTTGGGACGTGGTCACTGCCGTCTGGAACCTGTGTCTGAGATGAGTCACCCGAATCCATCTGTCCTGTCTTGGCGTCGTTACGTCGGGGACGCCCTGAACGTGGTTGGTCGGTGACGTCATTACTGTTTCGATAACGCCTGACCAATATCGCAGATATCGTGTTACGATGGCTTTGGAAATGTGCTGCCACCTGTTGTTGGCTCATTCCTGCTCGAACCATTCCAATGGCTTCATGACGTTGAGCAGATGTTAATCTTGGCATGATGTGCATGTGACTTCTCATGTGAATTTGTGAACGTTTGAATGACCAAAGATCAAGCTTTCGACAGTGACTGCAATTTCACATGTTTCACATGTTGTGTGCGGCTGCACGGGCTGCACGTGCAGTAACACATTGCAAGTCCATAGGCCACCATCAATGACGTCACGTCGCCTGGCACGTTCTTGAGCGTTTGATTGTCTCCAACACTTGCTATGTTCACACTTGTATTTATGTATAAAGACGCTGTGTGCCTATATTTATATTTTCTGTGTGCCAGTATATATGCTCTCTGCCTCATACTATTCATTCACCTGATGAAGGTGTAAATATATACTCCGAAACCTTGTGTTCCTCATTATATAGACGCGGGTTCGATCCCCAGCCGCGTCATACCAAAAGACGTTAAAATATGGTACTTGTTGGTCCCTGCCTGGCGCTCGGCATTAATGGGTACAACAAGGACTGGTCGGCTCGGAGTCAGTATACTGTATCTGAGTAGGGTATTCATGCTTCACTGCGGCGTGGTATCTCAGTGGGCTAGAATTATAAAACCAGCTTTAGTCTGGGCTAGTACAAGCAGCCGCACATACACATACACACGCATGCACGTCGTCATATGAGCGAAATATTCTCAAGCACGACGTTAAACCCCATTTCACCTCACCATTATAAATAAGCTCTCTTCCTTCTTTGCAGTAATTTGTATTTGCAAAGTTTATCAATTCTGTAATAATTTGTTAATTGCATAAAACTTGTGTGTTGTTTGTTGGTTTTACACTTAGTGAACTGATTGTTTCAATTTAGAAATCTACACATAACAACTACAGTATGTACTATCAAACCTCACTTCCGTCTGAAGTATGTTGCCAAATCGTCCATTATTATCACACAACTATTAAAATTACTAGAGACTAATAACTCTTAGTTTTTGGAAATATTAAGCTGTTTCCAAATATCCACTTCTTTTCTCATATTTATTTATGTGCGTGAATCATTCATTTCGATATTTTACTTCTTCGATATTTTTCGACAATTTAATGAGCAGTCAACGAGGATTGTATAGGTAATTATTGAGATTGTATGAGTGCTTCGAACATTATAAAACTTTCTGGGTTATGTCCCTTTGCAACATTTCCGTTTCCGGTTCACTCCGAAAACAAAAACGTTTTTGAACGTCTATCGTTTATTGACTTTCTTTTAAGATAGTTTGCTCAAAACATACAAAACAAAGACGGTAAGTCGTCAGTGTATATTGAATGACCAGTCACAGAAATATTTAATTTAGGATCGTAGATGCTACATTGCATGTTGGAGTGATGATGGGCAGAATCAGAAATGAACATGTTGGATTGCCTATCGAGAAAATCAAATACCACGAAATGTTTTTAAGTAAAATGACGTATTTCCGTAGCGAGGGTATAGTTAAGCGGGCGCAATTCACTGTAGCGCTAATTGTCTGCCGTTTTGGGCTGTCACTGTACAGATCAATAGTGACTCTTCGATTCCAAGTTTACTAGTTGTGTCCCTTTACCATGGATCCCCTTCCCGAACAAGCACTTTGAACAATTTCTTCGAGTGGCATTTTTAGAAGTTGGTTAGATTAGTTCAGATGCAATTAAAGAAACATGTTAAAACTCATCCTTGTGAAATGAGGAATATATGTTCAGGTAATATGATTTGACTAGAATGAAATTTAAGGGGGGATACGGGCGGAAGTCTTTCCACTTTATCACAGCATTGTTGCCAATAATGTGGTCTCAGCCCTCAACATGCTCATGTATACAACAAATCTCATGATGTTACCATGGTTACACAGATAATACAAATAACAGATGTTCCTAATTTTGGGAGTTGTTCTTCTGTTGAGCTTTTATGGTGGTTACATTGTTCTGTAACACTGTGACCAGACTTGAGCTGGAGCTGCTTGGAAAAGCATAAACAGGAAGCCTACCTCAAGGTGGTTGAGGCTTCTGACTCATGGCCAAAGTGTCATTCTGCAATTATGCTGAGGTTCCTGTTTTGTGTTGACAGATGTCCGATGATGCCGACAGCTCGTATGAGCAGGGTGAGCTGGAACCGAGTCCTGATCACCACCGGGCCTCGGACAATGAACGTCAGCTGTCTCTCTCCCCACAATCCCAGGAGGCAATTGTTATTGATGACCCAGAAGATCAGGACTTCTCAGACAAAGACAGGTAGTCACATACTTCAAGTTCAAGATCTTAATTTTGTTTATCCTTTTTAAGATTTGCTGAAAGCTGTGTAGTTTTAGGTATCTGAATTATTCTTTCTCTTTTGAAATGATTCATTTCCACGAAATGCACCTGTCTGATCTTTCCTTTTTTGGAACCATGAAGTATTTACCCATGATATCATGCACATTGGATATTGGTATTTTTGGGGCATTAGATATATTTATACTCTTTTGTGTCCAGTCTATTGAGTTGTGTTAACCAACGAGGAGACATTTTTAGAAATATTTCTAGTTCTATTGGAGATGGCTCGTATGGCTGGAATATGGCTCTAGTGTCGTGTTACACAAAATAACTTTGGTCATGCGAATATCTGGTGTCTGTGGGTTGTGAACCTAATATTTAGGTTTTCATCAAACATTATGTTGACACACCATGTTTCAAGGCAAATAAGTTCCATGAAACCAAAGAATTACCCCCGAACCGGCCCCAAGCCGAACCGGCCCCTGATATTTAACCCGAACCGACCCCTGATATTTGACCCAAACCGGCCCCGAGAAGTAAATATTTCTACATTGACATATGAATTAAAGTTCCTTTAACATAAATGACGAAAACATATTACTCATATGTCTTTACATGTAATATCGATTTTTGAAAATATATTAGCGAATATTAGTGTCGATGAGAGGCAAGTGAACATGCAAGTGCTGCTGATCACGGAGATCCCGTGGTAGAGGACATTTTATGTAATTCTTTTAAGAATCTAAAAAATCAATTGCAAAACAATACTAAAGTAAAACGTGTACTTACATTTCGTTGTATCGTATCCACAGAATTGACACATTAATTCAATACAAGAGTAGCACATAAATCCAATATAATGAATTCACGTTTCACCTTTGTTACGCCCAAGTTTCCAGTATCGAAAAATAATGTCGTCCTTCATCTTTTCGCATGTTTCCATGTGTGGAACATTTGTCAAGATGTTCAACACACATTAACCACCTTTCACAATCACAGAGTGAATTCTGCTAACATTATGAAAACTAAAACATTCTTCAGCCCCAAAATTAAACTGTTATTTTACGCATGTCTCACTGAGCGATTAAAGTGAATGTGTTGTTTTAATATTTCTTTGAACGGATTATCGTGAGCGAATTAATGTACATGTTGTCTTAAGCGTATGCTCTTACTTGACACTGATTGCGTTCACTCAATGTCAACTGCACCGTATACTGTTATCTTCACCTTGCGTATAATCATATAAAAGACATTATCTGAAGGACATGATTCATAATTTGTTCATCATGGATAACGTGACCCGATTCTTGCGTTTACTGCTCATTGAGATGCCGCGAAAGACAACAGTGCCTATATAATAAATTAATTAAAATCTTCATGTCTGTATATATATATAATAAATTAACTGAAATCTTCATGTCTATATATATATAATAAATTAATTGAAATCTTCATGTCTGTATATATATATAATATATTAATTGAAATCTTCATGTCTGTATATATATATAATAAATTAATTGAAATCTTCATGTCTGTATATATATATAATAAACTGAAATCTTCATGTCTATATATATATAATAAATTAATTGAAATCTTCATGTCTGTATATATATAATAAATTAACTGAAATCTTCATGTCGGTCTGATTAATTGTCTGTCTGATTATCGTTAATTAACCTAGGGGCCGGTTCGGGTGCGGGGACGGTTTGGGTTAAATATCCAGGGGCCGGTTTGGGTTAAATATCCAGGGGCCGGTTCGGCTTGGGGCCGGTTTGGGTGTATCCCAAACCAAACTGTGTTTCAACATATGGTAGCTGTTTCATGTTAGTATTGACAGAAACAAGTACTTGTTTCTTGTAGTTGAGTTAGAAGTTGGACGAACAGGATTACATGACAAGTTGTACAGATAACATGTTCTTGTTGCTTGTAATTAGATTTTACAATGTGTCATTATGTCCCAACTGCGTAGACCAATGCTTATGATGTTGATCACTGGATTGTCTGGTTCAGAATAGATTATTTACAGACATCCGCCATGTAGCTGTAATATTGCTGAGTGCTGCATTAAACAACAAACCAAAATCAACCAAGATGTAACAATGGGAAATCTTCACCATGTTCACATGGTATGCAAAAGTGGTTGTATTGATTTGATGTCTTATTGCCATGGTTACAGAAGTGGGGGAGAAGACGGGGATGGCCTGGACATAAAACCTCCTCAAACTCATGCAGGCCGCAAGGAGAAATCCCGTAAACATAAACATAAAGAGGAGCGGCGACGAGAGAGGGACAGACGAGACCGAGAGAGAGAGTACAGAGACCGAGAAAGTAAGTGTTTATCTGTACAGAGTCTACAAACAATACCATTCCATACAATACAACTAAAGTGGAACCCGTGAAGGTCTGGGTTAGAATTGGTCTTCAGCAACACATGCTTGTCATAAGAGGCGAACGACGGACGGGATCAGATGGTCATGTTATCGTATTTCAGTTGCGTAGATCAATGTTCATGCTGTTGATCACTGGAATGTGTGGTCCAGACACGATTATTTACAGACTGCTGCCATATAGTTGGAATATTGCTGAGTGTGGTGGTCTGACTAGCTGACTTTGTTGACACATATCATCGTATCCCAATTGAGTAGATCGATGCTCATGCTGGTGATCACTGGATTGCCTGGTCCAGACTTGATTATATACAGACTACAGCCATATAGTTGTAATATTGCTGAGTATGGTGTTAAACTATCATAACGCCTACCTGTTTGTTGTAAGGAGGTCACCAAGGCCGGCAACAAGAACAAGACCGTCACAGATTGGTCCAGATGCGGGATCGACACCGGGAACAGAAGGAGATGGACAGGGAGTGGCAGAGAGAACGTGAAGTGGAGCGGGAACGACAGAAGGCAAGAGAGGCTGAGAGAGAAAGAAAGGAAAAGGAAAAAGAGAGGCGAATAAAAATGGAATCGCGCGAGGCTCGTGAAATGAGGAAGAGACAAGAATCTCAAGATGAAAGGTAAATGATCTTTGTCTGTCATCTCAGCTTCATATCATGTAAAACAAGATGTAACAGTGAAGATCCCAGTTAAAACTGGTCTTCAGCCACCCATCCTTGTCAGAGGTGACTAACAGGATCAGGTGGTCAGGCTCGTTGACTTGGTTGATACATGTCATTGTATCCCAACTGCATAGATCAATGTTCATGATGTTAATCACTGGATCGTCTGGTCCAGATTCGATTATTTATATGCAACGCCATGTAGCTGGAATATTCCTGAGTGCAGCGTTAAACCAAAAAAAACCAAGTGGACAGTGAGACCAAAACCCTGCAATACTCCCAGATCTTTCTGTCTAAATCTAGTCCAAGTCTAAATATAGCACACCACTGTCCTTTACTGAATCTTCATGTACAATGTATTACACTTGGACCGTTGTTACACAATGAATACTGTACATAATACTGTACACAACACTGTACAGTGATCATTCCTTCCTTCCCAGAGAGAGACTTGAACAGCTTGAACGAGAGAAGCAGAGAGCTAGAAGAATACGAGAGGAGAGGGAGAGAGCTCGTAGGAAGGAGGAAGACAGAAGGCAAGCCCAGCAATCAAGATCAGAGAGTAAGCTTAACGCAAAAAATTACCATGTCAACAAGTGGAAAAATATAATGGAAAATCATTGCACTGGACACCATGACCGAAAAGACAGATAAATGTTTGCCAGGTCAGATACGTAGATTCACATAATTGCGTAAGGTGGATTCTACCTCAAGTGGATTCTGTGTTGTAATGGGCCGAAGCAAACTATGCTCGACATAAGAGATGACCAGATGCATGTTGTGTTCAGATTCATCAACCTGGGGGTCATTATACAAAACTACCTTAGCTCTAAGTCTGTCAATGTATGGAGGTAACATCAGCCTAGGATGAGTGAGTGGGTGAGTTTGGTTTTACACCGCTTTTAGCAATATTCTAGCAATATCACAGCGGGGGACACCGGAATTGGCTTCACATTGTACCCATGTGGGGAATCGAACCCGGGTCTTCGGCATGACGAGCGAACGCTTTAACTACTCGACTAGGCCACGGCCCCAGAGTCTAGGATGAAGATCACTTTGTGCAAAGCTACCTGGCTTAGGGCAGGGATCATCATGATCATTGTTGACTGTTGTCAATCACTGGATTGTCTGGTCTAGACATGATCGTACAGGTTGGTGTCATAGCTGAACAAATGACATGATTTCTTGTTGCTGTACGGCGGTGGGGTAGCCTGGTGGTTAAAGCAGTTGCTCGTCATGCCGAAGACCCAAGTTCGATTCTCCACATAGATACAATGTGTGAAGCCCATTTCTGGTGTCCCCACGAAACTTTTGAGAGCATGATAATTTTGTGAAAACTGCGAATGACTTGAGCTCGCAAAAATATCATGACGCAATTTGCTGGTCAAAGGCAGTAAACAATCGACAAATAACGTGTCTCATTATCTCTTTATTATTCACCAGTTCATATAATCAACAAGAGATCTAGACAATGCATAAATTAAAGGTCACATGCAACCAAAAAATCAAACATAATTAAGACACAATTATCACTTATTCATGACATATAATATACGTTGCTGATTATGGAAAAACATATAAACAAAATTATAAGCGTACAATCGCAAATCAAAAGTGAAATATTTTGTACTTGGGTTTTCTTCCCTCGAAACGAAGCACCCGGGATACCGAACCCAGTCAGAGCGGGTGGGTGTGCACTCAAGTGTAATGGCTCATTTGCCAACGCCCACATGGCTCATTGTGTGTGTGGAGAGCGGAAGGTCGCTGGTTCGATCCCCAACCGCGTCATGCCAAAAGACGTTAAAATATGGTACTTGTTGGTCCCTGCCTTGCGCTCGACCATAATGGGTACAACAAGGACTGGTCGGCTCGGAGTCAGTATAATGTGTCTGAGTGCTTCACTGCGGCATGGTATCTCAGTGGGCTAGCACTATAAAACCAACTTCAGTCTGGGCTAGTACAAGCAGCCGCACATACACATACACTTGCATGCACGTCGTCATATGAGCGAAATATTTCAAGTACGACGTTAAACCCAATTTCACCTCACCTCATTGCGCGTGTGTATATAGAGATGTTGGGTTTTGTAAATACATGTTCATTTTTTGTGTATAACATTTTGCAATCAAAAGACATCATAACATGTCATGTGTACAAGTATCACACCTGCATGTCTGTGTAATTACATAATGTGACAGAGACAGAACTCGGGCCGTAAATCAATGTGTTTTGTTTATGGTGTATAGCCTGATGGGTGTTAAGTTCAAATTGCATGTGGTCAGTGATCGAAGTTGTGTATTGAATATTGTCATTAGCAGACAGGCAGGCAGACACATAGGTGTCCGACATTGAGTTTTGTCTGTGACAACGACATATCTATATCACAGTTAGAAATTCTGTCAACGCTAGATAATGACATTGCTTTTAAGTATCGAACTGAGAAAGTGACTCGGTAAGAAGAACATGTGGTGAAATAGACAAATGAAATTATATAAACAGTTAAATCGGTAATGTACTATCGTAACATATAAAAAGCTCGTGCCTGTGAAATATCAACAAAACATTAGAAAAATAGCTCACATCAAAGCCTTCACCGAGTATTCACCGCAAGCGAAGGTTTTCCGTCTAGAAATGTCAAACGCCACACTGGTTGACACATAGCTGAGTAGATCTAGATCCTTACAAGGTTCTTTATCATGACACAAAATCATCTGTTGGTCGCCACGTGCAAAAATACTGTGCCGCAAAAAAATTCGTGATTTACAGTATTGCTGGAATATTGCTAAAAGCGGCATAAAACTAAACTCACTCACTCACTCAGTTCTCAGTCTGTGAATACCTATACTGCTGAGTCAGGTCTTTAAATGCCTCCATGATGCAGTTGCAATAATACCAACTGTGAGGCGACACTTTAATCACGTGACCAGTCATGTGACATGTAGTGACAGGTGTCGCTAGTGTATTAGCAAATTTAATAAATTTCACGTTTGAAATTTGGTGAATAAATTCACAATTTAACCTTCAGTTGTTTGTAATGACTGGTCACAGTGATGTAAGTTTACATGAACATTTTATTCCTGATAATACTTCTTCAGGTGATTTATGGACGTTTCTCCCCAGATCATGTAAAGAGACAAAAGGTTGTCCGCACAGATGGTGAGCGTGTCCGCAGTCGCAGTCGAGATCGGCGCCATCAGCGTGAAGCAGATAACAAGGGAAGATCCCATCGGAAAGAGGGTGAACATCGAGGTGGGTGTCTGCGTATTCAGTTTTATCTATGCGGTTAAATCCATGAAAATTTTATTGTTCTTTCTCTATCTCCCTTGTTCTGGCTAGTAGACTCTAGCAGTCATAGGAGTAGTGGGTTAGCCTAGTGGTTGAAGCGTTCACCAAACACCCGGCTTGGATGTGCGAAGCCCATTTCTGGTGTCCCCGGCTGTGATATTTACAGAATATTGATGAAAGTGGCAAAAAACTGTACCCAATTTGGATGCATAGCAGTGGTGAGGAGTACAGTATAATAAGATGCTAGATACACTGGTGTTGTACGTTCACTGGGAGATGGGGCATGCACTCATTCACTAAGGGTGGTGGGGTATCCTAATGTCTTTTGCTCGTCGCGCCGAAGATCCGGGTTTGATTCCCCACATGGGTACAGTGTGTGAAGCCCATTTCTGGTGCCACCCTGCCTTGATATTGCTGGAACATTGCTAAAAGCTGAGTAAAACCCAACTCACTTACTAGGAGATTCCCATGTCTAGTTCCACTTCTCTGTTGTCCTGCAGGGCGAATGGTGGGTCCACACACCCCAGAGGAAGAAGACGAGGAAGAGGAGGAGGAGGAAGATCACAGAGAGGTTCACATCGAGGCTCATGAGGAATACCTGTCTGATGAGGAAGAGGAGGAAGAAGAAGAGGAGGAGGAAGAAGAAGAAAAAGAAGAGCAGTCAGAGGAGGAGGAGGAATATGCTGAGTCGGCAGAATCACAGGATTCGAGGGGTGAGCAATATTCACAGACATTAACCATGTTTGTGTTCTATATATTTCAACTGGACAATTTTGAAGTTTATTTGTAAAGGTAAATCTCCTGTTTTATTTTACAAAAATACTTTTGGCTCATAATTGTGAAAAGAACTATGCAAAAATTGCATTATATTTGACAGAAAAAATTATTCGATCTCTGAATATGTTGGACAGAATAATTGCAAAAATCTAAACAGTTAAATTACACTGATCTTAGGCAAAATGCCCATTCCCCCACTTGGACCCAAATAACACCCTGGATGTACCCTATTGGACCAGTGAAGATCCAAGTTAGAATTGGTCTTCAGCAATCCTTGCTTGTCGTAAGAGGCGACTAACAAGATCTGGTGGTCAGGCTCGCTGACTTGGTTGACACATGTCATCATATCCCAACTGCGTAGATTGATGCTCATGCTGTTGATCACTGGATTGTCTGGTCCAGACTTGATTATTTACAGACCGCTGCTATATAGCTGGAATATTGCTCAGTGTATTGTTGAACAACAATCCAACCAACCCACCTGTATACAATGTGTTGGTGCACTTTGCCTATATACAATTTGTATATAAAACATGCTTGTATACAATGTGTTGGTGCACTTTGCCTATACATTTTGCCTGTATACAATGTGTTGGTGCACTTTGCCTATATACAATTTGTTTATAAAACATGCTTGTATACAATGTGTCTATACATTTTGCCTGTATACAATGTGTTTATAAAACATGTTTGTATACATTTGTATACAATGTGTCTATACATTTTGCCTGTATACAATGTGTTTATAAAACATGTTTGTATACAATGTGTCTATACATTTGGCCTGTATACAATGTGTTTATACAATTTGCCTGTATACAATGTGTTTATAAAACATGCTTGTATACAATGTGTCTATACATTTGCCTGTATACAATGTGTTTATAAAACATGCTTGTATACAATGTGTCTATACATTTTGCCTGTATACAATGTGTTTTTATAAAACATGTCTATACATTTGTATACAATGTGTCTATACATCTTGCCTGTATACAATGTGTTTATAAAACATGCTTGTATACAATGTGTCTATACATTTTGCCTGTATACATTGTGTTTATACAATGTGTATACAAATGTGTCTATACAACATGCCTGTATACAGTGTGCAATATACAAGTGTGTTTATAAAACATGTTTGTATACAATCTTACACATTTGGCCTGTATACAATGTGTTTATAAAACATGTTTGTATACAATGTGTCTATACACAGAAGTATACATTGTGTCCATACAATTTGCCTGTATACACTGTATCTATACATTTTGCCTGTATACAGTGTGTTTATAAAACATGCTTGTATACAATGTGTCTATACATTTTGCCTGTATACATTGTGTTGCCTGTATACAAATTTGCTTATATACAATGTGCCTGTATACAGCTTTGCAATGTGTCTATACAATTTGCCTGTATACAATGTGTTTATAAAACATGTTTGTATACAATGTGTCTATACATTTGGCCTGTATACAATGTGTTTATAAAACATGTTTGTATACAATGTGTCTATACATTTGGCCAGTATACATTGTGTCCATACAATTTGCCTGTATACACTGTATCTATACATTTTGCCTGTATACAGTGTGTTTATAAAACATGCTTGTATACAATGTGTCTATACATTTTGCCTGTATACATTGTGTCCATACAATTTGCCTGTATACAAATGTGTTTATACAACTTGCCTGTATACAGTTGCAATGTGTCCATACAATTTGCATGTATACAGTGTGTTTATGAAACATGTTTGTATACAATGTGTCTATACATTTGGCCTGTATACAATGTGTTTATAAAACATGTTTGTATACAATGTGTCTACACATTTGGCCTGTATACAATTGTGTTTATAAAACATGCTTGTATACAATGTGTCTATACATTTTGCCTGTATACAGTGTGTTTATAAAACATGCTTGTATACAATGTGTCTATACATTTTGCCTGTATACATTGTGTCCATAAAATTTGCCTGTATACAATGTGTTTATACAACTTGCCTGTATACAGTTGCAATGTGTCCATACAATTTGCATGTATACAGTGTGTTTATGAAACATGTCTATACATTTTTGTATACAATGTGTCTATACATTTTGCCTGTATACAATGTGTTTATAAAACATGGCCTGTATACAATGTGTCTATACATTTTGCCTGTATACAATGTGTTTATAAAACATGCCCGTGCAGCAGATGCGCTTCTCGGCCGGATCCTGGCCCTGCACGAGTGGATGCTGTATACAATGTGTTTATGACCAGACACCGTTCTGCTCTCGATAATGGACCTTAGCGCGCATGCCGACGCCTTCCTGCTGGTTTGGACGGGCAAGCGCTCTTTGGCGTTCTCGCCATTACCATCATTCCCGTGGTTCTTTCACAGTTCACCCAGCCAGTTTCGCTACTTGTGCGGCCAATTCTCAGGTTTCTGGCCTGCCTCCTGTGACATTCTTATAAACGGACAGTGGGTGGCTTGGCCTCTGTCAGGTCTAACCCTCGAGGCACGCTGAATTCCTGCAGCAGTTGCAGACATTAATGCGGATTCTATACACCTTGCGCGGATTTAGTGTATACAATGTGTTTATAAAACATGTTTGTATACAATGTCTCTAGTCCACATTTGTCCCCTCACACCCATCGGGCTATTTCCACAGTTGTGTTTATGAATTTGCATGCTATGTCGTCCGACCGGGCGCTGACTATACAGTATCATACATTTGCTTACCCAGTATAAGTGTGTTTATCGCATCGTAAACCGTATTTTGTATACAACATCAAAAGCTCTAATGCATTTTGCATGTTCTCCAGTGACAGTGTCCCACCCCGACCGGTGCGGGTCATATACAAATGTACCCCTTCCATCTTGCCTGTAGTGATATTTTGTTTTCCCCAAATGTGTTTATGAAAGAAGCCAACGGATTGCTGCCTGTCTCATTACATACAGTTGCAATGCTTCCTCTCTCGCTGTGCAAACTGGGTCGAAAGTGACATACGACGCTATATTTTGAGTGTGCTTTACATGTATACATGTGTTCAATTCTTAGTCGTCCTTGGGGTAGGGCCCGCCTCCCCCAATTCTGTTCACATGATTTGGTATACAATGTGTCCTGATACATTTTGCCTTGATACAATCACAGGACATTTTTCAGTCGAAAATGTTTATACAACAATGTGTCTATATATTTGGGCCTGTATACACAAGTTTATAAACTGTTTGCATACAATGTGTATGTATACTGTATAATGTAAAAGTTTATGAAACATGCCTGTATATTTGCCTGTATATAATGTGTCTCCATACATTTGGCCATGTTTGTATACAATGTGTTTATAAAACATGCCCGTATACAATGTGTCTATACATTTGGCCTGTATTCAGTGTATCAGTATATGTTGTGTCTGTTTCAGAGAGTGACAACAGCAGCAGCACATCCAGCAGCAAGGTCAGCGAGGGCGTCGGCAGCAACGGCCATCATGGTACAGCACTCATCAATAAACATCTACATCACTTTGTCATCTGACATCATTTAAATCAACTTTGTTCAGCTCTCAATTTTTCTGGTGTCCCCAACCGTGATATTGCTGGAATATTGCTAAAAGCGGCATAGATTTCACTCGCACACAGCTCTCAATTAATGACGTCACTAATTAATTTTGCTCCTCTCAACGTCAGTAGAAGCTAGTTGCTGTTAATATGTAAGATAAATTGAACTGAATTTTCATTAATTGAATTCCAGAGAAAGTACGCTCCAAGTTTGATGACCAGTCAGAGAATGAGAGTGAGACAGAGAGCGTTGACATGCTCAACGCGAACAACAACGTGGACTACATTGCAGACTCCCCACCACCTTCACCGCTGGAACAAGAGATTAAACTCCCTCCCTATTTCCCAGCATTACAGGTACTGAACGCTGTGAAGTTTGTCAAATCTCAATCTCTTAAGGGTGCACCGTTTCTCCAGGGCCAGGTTCCCCAAAACAGTAGTAGCGTTACGACATTTGTACGTCTGTGTATGGGAGTTACGATCACCTCTGCGCTAAGGTCTGTGTTAATGTATGGGAGTTCCTCTTTGCGCTAAGATTACTCTGTGGAATATGGCTTGTGCTATCCATGATGCCATATTATGAAAAGATGCTTCCCTCAGTTTACAGGTATTTTATTGTCGTGACATTGAAGTATCAGACTGACTAAATATTTTGGAGGCAGTAAGCAGTTTGGGTTTCAGGCACTGGAATTTTCTGTGGAATCAAGATGTCGCTCTGGTGTTTCAGGGCTGTCGTAGTGTTGAAGAGTTCAGCTGCCTGAACCGGATCGAGGAAGGGACGTACGGCGTGGTGTACCGAGCCAAGGACAAGAAGACAAACGAGATCGTGGCTCTGAAGCGGCTGAAGATGGAGAAGGAGAAAGAGGGCTTCCCAATCACATCTCTCAGGGAGATCAACACATTACTGAAGGCCCAACACTACAACATTGTCACTGTCAGGGTAGGTCAGGGGGCTTCGGGGCTTCAGGGTAGATCAGAGAGTTTCAGGGTAGGTCAGGGGAGCTTCAGGGGAGGTCAGGGTAAGTCGGGTGCTTCGGGGTAGGTCAGGGTGCTTCAGGGTAGGTCGGGGCTTCAGGGAAGGTCAGGGGCTTCTGGGTATGTCAGGGGGCTTCAGGATAGATCAGAGAGTTTTAGGGTAGGTCAGGGGGTCAGGGGGCTTCAAGGGAGGTCAGGGTCTTCAGGGTAGGTCAGGGTAAGTCGGGGGCTTCAGGGTATGTCAGGGGCTTTGGGGGCTTCAAGGTAGGTCAGGGGTCTTCAGGGGAGGTCAGGGGGCTTCAGGGTACGTCGGAGGGCTTCAGGATAGGTCAGGGGGCTTCAGGGGAGGTCAGGGGTCTTCACGGTAGGACAGGGGTCTTCAGGGGAGGTCAGGGTAGGTCAGGGGGCTTCAGGGTAGGTCAGGGGGCTTCGGCCTTCAGGATAGGTCAGTGGACTTCAAGGTTGGTCAGTGTGTTAGAGGATTGGTCAGGGGTCTTCAGGGTAGGTCAGAGGTTCTGGGGTACATCATGGGATTTAGGTAGGTCAGCATGTTAGAGAGTATGTCAAGATGTTTGAGGATAGGTCAGGTCACTTTAGGTGAGGATGTTATAGGGTTGATTCAGGGTGTTTTAGGATGATTTATTGTTTAATGCCATGCTCAGCAATATACCAGCTATATGGACGTGGTCTGTAAATAATCAAGTCTTGATCAGACAGTCCAGTGAATAATAGTATGAGCATCGATCTACACAATTGAAATACGATGACATGTGTCGACCAAGTCAGTAAGCCTGACCACCCATCCAACAACATGGTTTGCTGAAGACCAATTCCAAACAGGATTTTCATGGGTCAGGGTTATCTGGGGTAGCTCCAGGGTTGTAGAGTATGCCAAGGGTAGTCCAAGATAACATGGAGCAGGTCATGGTCACCAGGATATGTCATGGTATTGATGAATAGGTCCAGGCTGTTATTGTGCTCCAAGGTGTTACAGAGTATGTCAAGATGTTTCTGAAGACATCAGGGTTATATAGGGTAGGTTTAGGGGAGGCCATGTTAGTTGAGGGTAGCAAAGGAAAGGTCAGTGTTGTTGTAAGGCAGGGATGGAAATAACCCATTGCCCGAAGCCCAAGTCCAGTGTTTTTTTCTGTCGGGCTAGCAAATTTGTTTGCCACGTTATACCTGTGCAGTTGACTTTCCAATGTTATTATGTTGTATAAAACTCAACAAGAAAATCGGCCAGTATAGTGGAAAAATTATCAGGGCAAGTGATTTGACATGTGCCACTGTACCGGAGTACACTAGCAATTTTAAAGTTATTTCCACCCCTGTAAGGTAGGTCAAAGATAGCTTTGGCTAATTTAGGTGAGGAGTTTAGTTCAGGGTAAATCAAATATTGATTAGCGTAGGTCTGGGTAGGCCTTTTGTTGACAGTGTCCATGTTTTTGTTGTCAGGAGATCGTTGTCGGCAGCAATATGGACAAGATCTACATTGTGATGGACTACGTCGAACACGACCTCAAAAGTCTAATGGAGACCATGAAACAACCGTTCCTTGTTGGTGAGTACATACAGAGTTATCTCCCTTGTCTGGGTGACTGAACACCTCCTTTTAGAGATTGACTGGTGGGATGTTCACCAGAGTTGTCACCTTGAAATATTCGAAGTAACAGGAGTCTGGGAGATTCATTTCATTTCCTCCACGTGATTTGTGAATGAAAGTAGTACCACAATAGATTTCATGTACCTGTTCATATTAGTTCATATTAGTATCTATCATGATTAATTGTTTTGAAAATGTTTTCAGGGGTTAATCCTTATCATGTTAGGAAATAATATATTTAAATGCTGACTGAACAATTGAAAACTCAGTCAGCATTAACACTTACAAGTTGTCTTGTCAGAATTAGTGGTCAGAATGGTTTTCTTAATATTGAGTCAGCAGTCCCCAACCAAAGAAATTCAAAGATTCTTAGTATATATGGAACAAACACCAGATAGTGACTGGTCCCTGTGTCTGGTAGAGGGGGTCGATGGGGTAGTCTAGTGGTTAAAGCGTTCGCACATCACACCGAAGACCCGGGTTCGATTCCCCACATGGGTACAATGTGTGAAGCCCATTTCTGGTGTCCCAGCCATGATATTGCTGGAATATTGGTAAAAGGGGTGTAAAACCAAACTCACTCACTCACTGTGTGTGATAGGAATATGTTGTCGTTCATGTCCAACCCTTATATGATGCCTTGGGTCACAAGCCCTCACTAACTCTGAGGCTGGTTTCCAGGGGAAGTAAAAACGCTGATGCAGCAGCTCCTTCGTGCTGTGACCCATCTCCATGACAACTGGATCCTCCATCGCGACCTGAAGACCTCGAACCTCCTCCTCAGTCACAAGGGTATCTTGAAGGTCGGAGACTTCGGTCTGGCGCGAGAGTATGGCTCCCCGTTGAAACAATACACGCCCATTGTAGTCACGTTGTGGTACAGAGCTCCAGAGCTACTCCTAGGAACAAAGGTGATTTGACATCCATCAGTTGTTTCCTTTCTTTTCTTTATTTGTTTATTAAAAATAAGATAACTATGCTACTTCATCTTTGGTCGGGGTATTTTTAGCTTTGCATGATACCGAAAACTGATTCATTTTATATGTATGTCAAGTGTGTTTTTAAATACAGTGAAATGCCAATGTGTCAAATTTACAGATGTCTCTATGTACAACTTTAGTCAATGCATATTCCCAGGGATGAGAATGAGTATAGGCCGCAGGTTTTGACGATTCACAAGAATAACCCCAGTGGAATCAAATCCACGGAAACTTCCCATCCCTGTATTCCACACTGTCGTCATTTCGTGTTTTTGATGCACCTTGCATAACCTGAAGTATTAACATAAGTCCCATTGGGTAGATCTCATCTGAGAAGTGTCTTTTCAGTCTAGTTCTCAATTTGTCTTGTAACAAACTGGGAATGAAAGTTCACTCGGAGCCGTAAGAATCTAACATAAACTTTCAAAGATATGCTTAAAGGTCACATGCAACCAAAAAACAAACATAATTAAAACACAATTATCACTTATTCATGACATATAATATACATTGCTGATCATGAAAAAACAAATAAACAAAATTATAAGCATACAATTGCAAATCAAGTCTTGATGATGTATTGAGTGAGCTGTTGTGTATTTCAGTTGTACACCTGTGCTATTGACATGTGCAGCAGTATTTGACGATGTATTGAGTGAGTTGTTGTGTATTTCAGTTGTACACCTGTGCTATTGACATGTACAGCAGTATTTGACGATGTATTGAGTGAGTTGTTGTGTATTTCAGTTGTACACCTGTGCTATTGACATGTACAGCAGTATTTGATGATGTATTGAGTGAGTTGTTGTGTATTTCAGTTGTACACCTGTGCTATTGACATGTGGTCCGTGGGGTGTATATTTGCCGAGTTCCTCACAATGAAAGCACTGTGGCCCGGCAAGTCTGAAATAGATCAACTCAACAGGATATTCAAGGTATGGTTGTCATGACAACACTTCATGGAATTTTGTAGTAAAAGAACATTGAGACTTCCTGTATCCAATAAGGGTGATGTACCATGATACGAGGTCTTCGATACGATACATGATGCATACAAACCTCTATCAAGATGCATGACAATTCAAACATTTTTTAATTACTTATGGGCTGTTTTGGATAGTTTTGGTTTCCACATTTCTTATGGACTTAGGGACCGTTCTTAAGTTATAGCAAGGGGGAGGGGTGTCATGATGATTTTAAGGGTGGGTCACCCATTTTTATCTGGGGACGTGAGGGGGGTCAGCAATTTTGTACATAACTATTTTATTAAATTATGCTTCAAAATTATGGGAAGGGGAGGGAGGGTAATTGATTTTGTACATGACATGCAGGGGGAATCACTTACTTTGTACGTAAATTTTAGGGGGTTTCATTCAGATTGTACATGCTTCTCCATAAAAATCATCATCATCATCACACACACCCCCACCCCCAAACACTCCCACCCCCAGCCATAAATTATGAACGTTCCTTACTTACTTATCCATGTTAGGCAGCAACAAAGGATCGCCACTCTTGTCTGTTCTGGGCAAGGTGATCTATTGTACCTTAGGTGTGTTTTAGGGTCTTCAGTTCATTATGGAATGAGTGAGTTTGCTTTTACGCCACTTTTAGCAATATTCCAGCAATATCATGGCGGGGGACACCAGAAATGGGCTTCATATATTGTGCCCAGGTGGGGAATCGAACTCGGGTCTTCAGCGTGACGAGCGAATGCCTCAACCACTAGGCTACCCCACCGCCCGGACTCAGAATGGCAGAAAGAGTCTGTTACAAAGCTTACTCTCCTGTGAAATGCATAAGTTCAAGACCTGAATGTTGTTTCTGCGTATCAAGATAAGTATCATATCATGACCAGATCTGGCTACAAATGACCTTTCGTGTCATTAAACTATCAGAATTCATTGTTATCCTCTTGTGTGATATTTTCGTGTATTGTTTGTATGTGTTTCTTTGTGTAACAGTCTACTCCGCAATATTACAGCTGTAAGGGGTGAATAACGGGGTTGGTGTCTGTCATTTAGGGGTGACTATTGAGGGAGAAACAACTATTGTGATAGCGATAGTCTATTGCGACCAACTATTGCAATATTTTTTTTTCCTTTGAATTGTCTCATTTGAAGTCATTTCCCAAATGAATGTATATAGTTTATATGAAATGCTAACAAGTTGAAGTAGTTTCAGTCTCTTTTAATAACTGACAAGAAACTTTAAGCCCAGATCAAGTGTGTTTAAGAGGTAACAGGGGCAGATAACTCTTAACTCAAAGTGAACAAATCTGAGTACTTCCTGTATTTTGTGCTGCGCATTTATCAACGGAAGTCAATTACTAAACCATCGATAGTTTTTTCGTTTCTGCCATCAATTAATTCCTATCGCAGACTCAACAATTGCAATCCATCGATAGTTCGATGCATCGTTAGATCCCAACTGTCATTGTACCTGATTTTGTAGATCGTTTCTCCTGATGTCAGTCACTCGAGTGTCTGGTCCAGACTCATTTTTTACAGTCCACCGTCACAGTGGTTGAATGTTGTGGATTGTAGCTTTACATGTGAGCCAACAAACATATTAAATCTAAAGATGAAGGCTGAGCTGTGTGTGTTACAGGATCTGGGTACTCCCAACAAGAAGATCTGGCCGGGCGTTGAGGAGTTGCCAGGCATGAAGAAGTGCACCTTCACCGACTACCCTTACAACACCCTCCGCAACAGATTCGGTTCCTACTTCACCGACGTTGGCTTCGATCTTATGAACAGGTGAGGTGTGAGTGAGTTAGCTTTTATGCCGATTTTAGCAATATTCCATCAATATCATGGTGGGGAGACACCAGAAATTGGTGTCACACATTGTAACCTTGTGGGGAATAGAACCCTGGTGTTCAAGGTGATGAGCCAACAATTTCACCATTATGCTACCCCACTGCTGCAAACAGGTGAGGATCTGCTATTGACAGCATCTCCTTATTGGCAGCAATGGAAAACATGACTGCTTGAAAGTTTTGTTAGAATTGTAATTTAAATTTTGTGAGTAATTTTTCTAATTGCTACTCCAGACTCAGTATTGACATTAGAGCTGATTCTTTGATGGAGGGGCGATGGGGTAGCCTAGTGGTTAAAGTGTTCTCTCATTACGCCGAAGAACCACTTTCGATTCTGCACATGGGCACAATGTGTGAAGCATACAGTCAGCTCTCGTTAATCCGACACTCATTAATCCGACAATCACGTTAATCCGACAAAGATTAGGGAACCATTTAAAACAGTGATAATTACTCTCGTTAATCCGACATTCTCCCATTCCGACTCCGACACACCAATCTAGCAACCGATCATTGTAAATACATTGTAAAAACATTCGTTAATCCGACAATCAACACAGCCGGTCGGATGATCCGACCGTATACAAACATCACACATGAAAGGTGATTAGCGCGTGCCTTACTGGCTGCTTAACACCCACGTCGGTGAACATCACACTTGTTAATTAGAAACACAAGATAATTAATTGAGGCGATTTAATCAAGAAATAACAATAGAGCGAGCTGTATAAAATGTTTACAACCGACCTGAGCATTCATCACGACAAGATGTCTGTCACGAGTACACCAACTGCTAAGCGAGCCCGAGTAAGAAATCAAGAAAGAAATCTGCCTTTTGAAGAAGGACAAACCCCAGACAACACAACAACAAGTCATCACTTTTGCTGCGCAGAAGTTTGATGTGAAGACTGCTGGCGTCATACAAAAATCCTGCCACCTACTGACAGCCAGATCGAGCCCGATAATGAACCGACTGAAGACGTCCGAGATTTACAGGAAACTCTTCACAAGCTCTACCCAGATGCACCCGTACCTGTCAGCGAATTCATAGAATATGACGCAAATCTGCCATGTGAGGAAGCCATGACTGAAGATGAAATAATCGAGATTGTCCGACCTACTGCCGAAGAAGAAATCAACACTGAAGAAGACCAGACAACCGAACCAGTCGTTCCCCAGCTACCTGAGGTCAAAACATTGTTGAAAACTTTGCAGACATTTGTGACACACCACTTAGACGTGTTTGATGTGAATGACCTCGACTTCATTGACACTTTGAAAACTAAAATGCTGAAGACCTCAGAAAAAAATGAACAACAAAAAACCCTCAAAGACTATTTCAAGTTGTAAATAATTGTTCACCAGACATCCATATGTTAGTGTGGAACTAGTTGTATGTAAACAGTGACTCATTCAACATCCGGGTCATAATGGCTGCTGAGAGTGACATAGCGACGACTGATAAAAACAAACGTGAGTTTTGTGCCAATGTGATTTTGAAATCGATCACGTGATTTTATATGTATGTTATGCCATCTATGATTGTTAATAAATGATATCAAGGATGTATTGTTATATTTTTTATTACTGTGAATGTTTTTACAAACGAAGACGATAACCAGATCTACAATTTCTGATATTTTCCGACATTTTCTTTAATCCGACATATTTCTCTGCAACCACAAGTGTCGGATTAACGAGAGTTGACTGTATTTCTGTTGCAGATATTGCTGAAATATTGCTAAAAGCGGCGTAAAACTAAACTCACTAACTATTCTTTGATGGACTTCTTCCAAATGAATCTTGGAATTTCGTTTGGCACATAAATATTTTAAATGGGGTCACGGTTACAAGAGAGAAAACATTCACAAAATAATTTGTGGTTTTAAGCTATAATTTCAGGGTATGAAACTTCCGAAAATTTCAGCCCAACCTCAGGGCTGGTTAGATGTAAAACTTGCCAGCCCAGACCAAAACTTACTGCCCACAAAATATCTTCATATACATGTACATGTCTAATTTTAACCCGACAGTCGGGCAGGTGAATTTGAGAATCTGGCAGTCCGTGTTGAAAATAACTCGTCCCGGGCGGTCGGACAGGCAGGTATTTCGATCGCTGATAATTTCCTTATACTAGGTATATACCTTCTATTGAATTGAGTCCTTTGTTTGATAAAATAAGATAACATTTTGATTGGTTCATCTCAGGAGTTGCCTGTATTTCAACCATTCTCCTTAACAGGTTCCTCACTTACAATCCGACAAAGCGCATCACTGCGGAAGATGCGTTGACACATGACTACTTCAAGGAGTCTCCGCAGCCGGTCCTCCCCTCCATGTTCCCCACCTGGCCGGCCAAGAGCGAACAGCCACGTAAACACCAGAGCTCCCCCAAACCCCCCTCAGGAGGCAAGGCCTACTCCAAGCTACTGGTATGTGAACCGGGGACACAGGAAATGGGCTTCATGCATTGTACACTTGTGGGGAATCAAACCCAGATCTTTGGCATTACAAGGACCCATAAGAATCAGATGCTGAGAATGAAAACTGAGTAAACATTGATTCAATCACCGGGGTAATGTAGATCTGTCATGGTTTCTCAGCACAAGAATTGTATATATATATGTAGTCAGTCATAATCTTTCAGATATATATGACCCGTGAAGATTCGGGTTAGAATATTGATCTTCAGTAACCATATGGAATGTGTATAGATATAGAATATCTAAAAAGGCATTGTGTAGCCATATTGAAGAAATGATTTTATTCAGGTGTGATACATCTGTAGCGTACAAAATGTAAAACATATTAAAATGTACATAGTACAGAGTACATTAAATGCGAACAGACGTCCGGCCCTGTGGCCTATGAGACACTCTTTACATGTAAAACAATAAATAGTGATAAAAGGCCACATAAAAAACATTATCCAGCCTCATGTAAGAATGTCGAGTTTTGATTGGTTCACGTGACTCTGATAAAATACCATGTACACCCGTCACGATTTGCGAGCAGGGAGTACAAAAGTCGTATCATCCCGCGACGCCTCATTGACCACGCGAAGTGAGACAAGCGTGCATCGCTAAGCCTTTAGTAACGTGCGCTGCATTGAGGTCAATCGATCAGCTGGTGTCAACATGGCAGCAAGGAAACGTTTTGCCGTAACTGAGAATGAAATTGATGCATATTGTTTTCTTTTGATTTAGTAAAAACATACAGGTTTTATCAGTCCCTTGTAAGGTTGTATTCAACCTTACTCGGGACTGATAAAACCTCGTATTTCCCTTGACACGATGTGATAACTTATAATACGAAATATATATTAGAGATAGGATGGGTAAAGGGCATATGTATGTATTTATATGACTGCTTGACATCTCTTGAACATTGTTGTTAGAATACTTGCTAGAAGCGGCTGTAAAATATCACACTGCAACAAGAAAATAAACTTTCTCCCATACTGGACTGACACACTGTGTAACTGAAACAATGTCAGAAGAGGAGTTAAACCAGACTTACTCACTCACTCACTCACACTCACTCACTCACTCACTCACTCACTCACTCACTCACTCACTCACTCACTCACTCACTCACTCACTCACTCACTCACTCACTCACTCACTCACTCACTCACTCACTCACTCACTCACTCACTCACTCACTCACTCATTTATTTGAACTGATTGTTCCAGGGCGATGATGATGAATCTCTCGGCTTCCACATGGCCAATGCTGTGAAGGGAGCATCTGCACAGGGACCTGGATTTCTCCTCAAGTTCGGGCACTAAGGAAGCAGTTGGAGTCAAGTACCCAGAAACACACAGGCTCAACAACAAGCACCATGATTTCCCCTCAGTGGTGTCTCGTGTACCTCAAACTACGCACATGTTAAACAAGCTACAAGATCTTCGCTGCAGTTTCTTACATACCCCATACAGAGAAAGCTGTTGAAGGCATGCTGTAAGTGTCTGTAGTCCAGTAGATAGTGTGTGTGCCTGAGAGTCTGGGTTTGTCTCTTTTGAACAGCAAGATACCCTTGGTGTAAGACCTTATCATCCACTGGCTGTTGGAACATTATGAAAGTGTCTGGTTGGTTAAATTGTAAGAACAAGAGTCTTCAAGAATCAAGGACTTCATTGAGCTTGTTATCCATTGCAGCACCAGCTATAGGAAACTGAACGATTCAACAATGTGCCTTCCGTGAACCTCAAATCATTGTTTCATGATCTGCTCCAAACCAACAATATCGGAGGGTACAGCAAGTCCATAATGCAAGCTTGCCGATTTCCTAATTTTCATGACCTTATTAAAACATGAGGGACCATATTGTACAGCCAATACCTGTGCCCACCCCTCTATTCGCAACCATGGCGACAGTCTCTGTATAGAGTTGTGTCCCTTAGGTGTGGCAGGAGTGATCTCAGTTTGAATCCCAGAGTTTGCTGATTCTGTTTGTAGGTTTGTCAGCACCACACTCATTATTAGAAACGATCTATTTTCAAATTCCAGATTCACTTAAAGACGTTTGTAAGTTTGATACAGTCATACTTGGTGTCATGGGTTAACCAATCCAGTCACCTGATGTACTGTATTATTTTGTGCTTTAATCTAGCGTCAAGCCTTTAAGCTGTTACACTGGCATTGAAGCAATCTCACTGTACTGCTACTGCGTGACTGGGCAGAGTTATGGCCCTTAACAATGCAGGATCCAGTGTTGAAGCCAATCTGCTCATTCACATCTCCAAATTAAATGAGTCAGTCTGATTTGCAGACCCCTTTATAAGATTTGTTAAACACAGTACTGGTACATATGTTGTTTAGTTTTCATAATTTGTAAAGGAAAAGTCCTTATGTGCCATTATTCATTCCTACCTGCTGCTGCTGTAAATACAATACAAGATCACTGAAGTTTGATATCAGTGGACAGGACCCTGTAAATATTTGATACATGTGTAAATCAAATCATGTTTACATGTCATGTAAATAATCATAAAACATTTCACGAACTCTGTACTGTTATTGTCGTTTGTTAGTTTTGACAAGGCCTGGGGCATTTTGGCACAGGTATCTACAGGTATCTACAGGTATGTACCCCAGGTCCTTCCTTTGTCCAGAAAGTTTGTTATATGACCATTGAAACTCGGGTGGAAGTGTGTACCCCCTCTTTTCTCAATAGTGTGCACCTCCCACACACACCCTTTCTCAAAAAGCTGTATCCGCCCACTGATATACCATTAAAAAAAAGTAGGGGATATTGGATTTACAAGATTGATAAAATGCAAATGATGAAGCCAAGGAGGTAACAGACGATGGGAAATTAAGGGAAAATGTGACAATTTATTCCATTCCTTTGGAAATGTTTCATCTGTATGGATATTTATTACTTTTTCTCATATGCATTGACATTGGCTAGTGGTATGCTCGAAAAACGGAATATCCCCTACTTTTTTTAATGGTATATAACGCCATCAAATGCATCCAATACAACAGTATGACAGTTCTGATCAAGAAAGCGCCACAGTGTGGTACGTTTCTGTATTCTGATTTTGGCTAGAAACGTACCTGGGGTACACACCTGTTGTACCCGTCATAGAAACGTACCTGGGGTACACACCTGTTGTACCTGTGCCGACAACTACCCCTTCAGCATTAATTTTAGAATCCTAGAGCAATAAAGCCTTGCCAGATAATTCTAGTTAGGTACAATTTATATCCATTGCCCACAGTACTGTTGTACAAAGCGATCTTAGCGCTAGGATGACATAACTGCCATACTAAACATGCACTTAAGACGGTCGTAGCGGTATGGGTGCGGCACCCCCAACCAGGAAGTCAGTTAACCTATTTACACCACGTGGTCTACGCACCCGTAATACAAAAGCCCTGAGGCATGGTTTGCTGGGCTCTCATCTCAATAATTGTCAGACCACTACAAGTGCACATCCGGGTAGCTGCAATAACCAACTATACCTGCGTGAAACGTTCTTGTACTCCATGCATGTAACACGTTTAAGGCGACAGATTTGGCTATATCGAATACCCCTCTATAAGCATCACACTGGCTTAAAGGGCACCGCTTTTAGACATACGGTTTTGAAGATGCCGCTTTTAGCAATATTACAGCAATATCACGGCGGTGGCACACATACCCATTTGAGGAATGGCACCTGGGTCTCTGTCAGCATGACGTGACGAGCTAACGTTTAACAACTAGGCTATCCTTACCTCCCCACTCCCTATAAGGTTCGTTTTTTATCTGGGGTAGGCTCGGTGTTCTATTGACAGTGTGTCATCGTAACCCTCGTATCTTTAAGGTTTTTCTTTATCTGGGGTAGGCTCGGTGTTCTATTGACAGTGTGTCATCGTATCCATGCGGCGCGGATCGCTGCTCATAATATCGATCACTTGATTGTCTGGTCTAGGCTTGTTATGTACAAGCCTTCGTCATATATATACTTGAAATGCTGTTGAGACAAATAAATAATACTGGCATAATTATAAACTGGAACATCTTTTGAAGGAACGACATTCAACTGTTTTAACCATGTATTTGCTGGTTTGTTTGCATTATAATATCATTGTGTTAGGCAATATTCCATATTTAACGTTGATCAGTAAAAAATCAAATCTGGACCAGACAACCCACCCTACATTTACTGGGGCGGTGGTGTGGCCTAGTTGACCGCCGAAGACCGGGTTCAATTCCCCACTGCCCCACTTGGGTATGGCGCTCGGCATTGTGAAGCCCACTTTTGGTGTCCCCCGCAGTGATATTGCTGGAATATTGCTAAAAGTGGCGTAAAACAATACTCACTCACTCCATTTAAGGGCCAATTACTAAGCGGATATACAGCTTGGGACTTCTATTCCTAACCGGACCACCCGTGAAGATCCGGGTTAGAAGTGATCTTCAGTAACCCATGCTTGTCTTAAGAGGCCACTAACGGGATCTGGTGGTCAGGCTCACTGACTTGGTTGACACATGTCTTCGTATCCCTATTGCACAGATCGATTGATGCTCATGCTGTTGATCACTGGATTGTCTTGTCCAGACTCGATTATTTACAGGCCGGCACCATATAGCTGGAATATTGCTGAATGCGGCGTAAAACTAAACTCACTCACTCACCTAGCCTCGCCACAGGGTCTTTAACGCTGATCAAACAAACACGATAGGGATTATCGCTTGTACAACCGCTGGTCAAGCAGCAAGTCACATACAATGGTCATGTTGTGTGGATCTACCAAATCATTATCACCTTGGGATTACAGATTTACCTTCTGTGGAAATCTCTTTTCAATTTGAATCACCAATACCAATTCCGAACAAGATTTCTTGAGGCAATGGAATATTATGCATGACTTTGACTGCATCAATGGGCGACCATTGCACAAGATGGATGGAAATCTCAGAGAGCAATCAGGTTAAGTGTAAAATGTTTACTTACGTGATTGTGGAGCGTAATCATTCGTCACAAGATTTAAACGACTGGGTCAATAAGCGATTTCCATTACCTCGCGGGTACTTGTCGCGAAACAGGCGACTTTGCTTGTCGTAAGAGGCGACTAACGGGATCGGGTGGTCAGGATCGCTGATTTGGTTGACACATGTCATCGGTTTCCAATTGCGCAGACCGATGCTCAGTCTGTTGATCACTGGATTGTCTGGTCCAGACTCGATTATTTACAGACCGCCGCCATATAGCTGAAATATTGCTGAGTGCGGCGTAAAACTAAACTCACTCACTCACTTGTCGCGAAACGTGGCATATTGCTTTCAACACCCGAGCCCTATAGATGTGTTTGACCTACAGTTTCGGGTACACGAGTGAAGCATAAGTCGTGCTGTCAAAAGGCCATCATATATGTTCGAATTTAAACGGAAGGGCTAATATCTTTGCGTTTTGTTTTGTGTATTTGTTTGAGTTTTAACTGTTGCGAACCGGGTTAGAATTGGCCTTGTCTAACCCATGCTTGTCGCAAGAGGCGACTAACGGGATCTGGTGGTCAGACTCGCTGACTTGGCTGACACATGTCATCGTATCCCAGTTACGCAGATGGATGCTCATGCTGTTGATCACTGGATTGTCTGGTCCAGACTCGATTATTTACAGACCGCCGCCATATAGCTGGAATATTGCTGAGTGCGGCGTTAAACAACAAAACAACCAACCATCCTATGTTTCCTAATTTAAACGCAAGGGCTAATATCTACGCGTTTAGTTTTCTATATTTGTTTGAGTTTTTTCTGTTTTTAAAGATCATCACATACGTGTCAAACAGAACGTGATAACAGTGGACAATGTGTATATATTATGCTTCAGTTTATGTCAGTTTCGACCCAAGGTACTGGATCCGTGATTGTACGGCCGAGATTTGACGGGAATAGTGTCAGAAGTCAAATATTTTCACTGCCCTATTTACCCAGTGAAAATCTGGGTTAGAACTTGTCAGGGTTCGTTTTGCATCACGTGTATGTCACGGGATGGGGTTGGGTGTCTTAGTACCTCAAACCCAAACTGTCTTTTGTTGTCGACATATTTGATAAACGACGCTAAGCTTACGATAAATCAGGGGTTCCTTCACATAATCATGGAGCCAGAGCACGTTGATATCTAAAAGTACACATTATATTTCGGGTTCGCCATGCCTTGCCGGTCTGATGCTTTTGGACTGAAGATACTGACGCTCAACGTGCAGTGACCCTTATCTCATTGTCACCGATTACTTAGGTGTGACGTCTCCCTACAGTGTCTTGATAGAGCGTCATAGAGATCTGTATTCCCCTGTTTCATAACGATGAGTTGACATTTTATACTGTTATACAATGATGACAGAGTAAAACCCATTTTGATATAATACCCCTGCATCACTTGCATAACAGCGCGTTAAGCCAACCTTACGCAAATTGTAACACGTAAAGATTCCATTATTGTAAAGGTAGAAGGGTTAAGGAATGCACCCCATGCTTGTCGTAAGATCCGTCTATCGGCTCACCGGCAGTCGCACGCACACATTTGCTGCAACATTAAACTATTTGTGGGGTTAGTTTGTTGTTTAACGCCGCACTCAGCAATATTCCAGCCATATGGCGGCGGTCTATAAATAATCAAGTCTGGGCCAGACAATCCAGTGATGAACACCATGAGCATCGATCTGCGCAACACTTCGAGACCCAATACATCGTATCCGCTTTACGGAAGCAGTACAATGGTATAAGTTGAGAGAGAGAGAGAGAGAGAGAGAGAGAGAGAGAGAGAGAGAGAGAGAGAGAGAGAGAGAGAGAGAGAGAGAGAGAGAGAGAGAGAGAGAGAGAGAGAGAGAGAGAGAGAGAGAGAGAGAGAGAGAGAGAGAGAGAGAGAGAGAGCACGCTCGTTATGTCGCAATGCTGTCGAGGACTTCCAAGAACGGTAGTGTCAACTTCTCCACTTCAGTGTTTAAATTTACTTAATGAACGTAGCATGTTTGCTGAGTTACGGGAAACTTTAACTCATAATCATCCATTCTGTAAAATGAAAACTCTGAACACAAGTCTTTCTCTCACTTAGCTGTCCTGGTATATTATATACTACCCATCAAAAGTTTAGACTAATCTAAAGCACTCACTATATGTTATGAATATATATATGGTAACATCGAAGATGAATTTCTTCACTAACTGGGGAAAACCAACTGCAACATCATGCAGTATCATGCATCAAATTGCTGAAAAGCATGTGCTAATATCGTGCATGTGAACAGCTGCGTTTTGGTGTAAAGGTTTGTTCAGTTTGAGTTTCATCATTTATTGAACTCATGACAATAATCTTTTCAACGTTACGAATTCGTTTTACAATACATCAGTTCATGTGTAAACAGCACCTTCAAACAGTATGGAATATTTTGCAAAATCTAGTTTAGAACAGCTGCCTGTAGTAAGTGGCTACATTTACTCTAGTGAGTCTAAACTTTTGATGGGTAGTATATATTTCCTATTAGGCATAAAAGTCGACGAAACGTACCAGTCTGATTTTAGCTATCAAACACAGTTTTCCTCTTGAAATAACCAAACCTGTTAATATATAGTCGAACGGATGTAAAGGTATCGACAAATATCCACGTGAAACGTTTTCAGATAAAAGGTCGACAATAATGGCGTTAGGGTGGTCCCTAACCTCGTCAGGGTTTAATGCTCAGTGTTAACAGCGATGTCGACATTTGTCCACGAATCACTGACTATCCTAGGTGACTGGATGTCTTTTTTCACAGATGAATAATCGACCTGCATAACTATAGGCTTTACTTTCCTTTAAATATACAAATGGACGGACCGACGATAGCGGCAATGCATTGACCTCTACAAGTCTTAACCAGTATGTTTTTCACGACAATGGAATCGCCGTGAAAAATGGCCTTATTAACTCTCACTCTTCTGAATGCAGTGTACCCTATAACCCTTTATAGATCGTCTAGAAGTATATTCATCAAATAACAGATGAATAGTCATTCTGATAAAAAATAGTTCGTGGCTCATATCTGGTCACCATGGATACGAGTGAAGGGAGATTTTTCCCGATTCATCTACATGGTGACAGACACTTTCATTTCCACATAGCAACATTGGACTCACATCTCTCCTGGACGACAAGGTTACAAACTTATACAGTTAAATACGTTTATAACGAACACGCTGATAGCGAACTGACGAATATAAGGAAACACGCACGCACACACACACACACACACTCTCTCTCTCTCTATCTTTCTCTCTCTCTCTCTCACACACACACACACACACACACACACACACACACACCACACACACCAATACCTGCTGCCACCCAACTTCATCCGAACTACGGTTATGACGAACTAAAATCAGTGGTCCCTTTGAGGTCGTTACAACCGTAGTTTACTGTATTTATCAACAGAATACAGAAGAGATAAATACATCTGTCTAGAAAATTCATTCTCTGATATTTTATGTGTTAGTGTCATGCCGATTGATGGAGTCCCCCGCCGTGATTCTGTTGGAATATTGCTAAAAGCGTGTAAAACTAAACTCACTCACTCACTGGAATATTGCTAAAAGCGGCCTTAAACCGTATTCAATCACTCACTGGTATCTATTCAGAAGTACTGTAATCAAGCTGGAGTATCATGCAAAGTCTACCAACCCTAACTTCGCCATTAATTTTATGCTAACAGAAAACTCCGATGTGAAACTTGAAGCATTGTGGGTATAGGCTTTTACAGCCTCGTATATCGTTTACTGTTCTCGTATCTGATTTCCCATAAAATGTTACGCCATTTCTTCCACACACGGGATGTTCAAAGGAACTGGCCATGCGTCATGTCATAAAGTACCAAATTTCGTTATAGAGTCCCACTGACCCATCATGTCCAAAAACAAACTTCGTATGTCGGGTTGCCGATATTGGTTGTTTGTTTGCCAGCTCTGACTGCGTAGTTAAGTGGATGGGCACCTGTTCGGAGGTGAAGAGGGCGGTGGTTCCATCTGCAGTATAATGTCATATAAGATGTTGTTTGTAGTTAGAAACGGCAATGAGAGGAATACCGAGGACTTGTAGGCTCGGAGTCAGTGTACTGTGTCTGAGTGGCGTATTCGTGGCATGTTTTCTCGGGGTTCAAGCACAATGAATGGGCACAAACACACATGCACGCACGCACCTGCTTGCACGTCGCAAACTTACAATGATGTTAACACGACGTTAACCCGTAGCTATATGAAGGCGGTCTTTCATTAGGATTCTGGACCACATAATCCTGTGATTGATGTCATGAGCATCATACCCCGCCCTCTGGCGACGACACCACGATATCAAGCCAGCCACCGAACTTGACCTTGCGAACACGTGTCTGGGTCGTATTGTCTTGTCCGGAATCTCCAGGTTGCAAAATGTAATAAATTTTACTGATGAAATCCTCCCTGGTTTGACGAACTATATATATGGCATGCTTGGCCACTCTGGAGTGAGTGAGTGAGTGAGTGAGTGAGTGAGTGATTTTAGTTTTATGCCGCACTTAGCAATCGATCTGCGCGATTGGGAACCGATGGCATGTGTCAACCAAGTCAGCGAGCCTGACCACCCGATCCCGTTAGTCCTGGGTTATCAGAGAGTAGCGAGTGAGTGAGGTTTTACGCCGCTTTTAGCAATATTCCAGCAAGTACCAGAAATGTGCTCCACACATTTTACCCATGTGGGGAATCGAACCCGGGTCTTCGACGTGACGAGCGAACGCGTTAACCCCACCGCCCCTATCAGAGAGTAAGAAATTACAACAACAACAAATGGCTAATTTGAAAGGATGGGAGATAAAGTTTGTTTTCTGGACACAGGGAGGATAACAAGCTGAAAGTGACCTGAGCTCAAGGTACAAGACTTGTAGACATATGGATCTGGGGCTTCGACGATCGACCGTCGAGGTATGGCTGTCAGATATCCCACATGCTGCACGGCATCAGATCATCAGAGGAACAGATCAGCATGAATAGTTAACAGCAGAGAGCCATGAAAAAACGGCTGTGATCTAACTCGAATCGGTACAAGCCGGTGTCTGACACCAGAAATGAAACAGATGCCTGTTTGGAAGCTACAAAGATTGTTTCAAATCATTGTTTTGTCAAAATACAACAGTGGAAATATTTCTACGAATGAGTGAGTTTTGTTTTGGTTTGATTGTTTGTTTTGTTTGGGTTTTTGGTTTTGTTGGTTTGTTGCTGTTGTTTTTGGGGGTTGTTTTTGTTTGTTTGTTGTATTTTGTGGCTTTTAAAAGTTTTTGTTCTTTGCGGGGGGTGGGGGGGGGGTGTGTGTGTGTTACTGTGTGTTAATACTTGGTGATGGTTTGGGTTGTGAATTTTACCATCTGTTTTGGAGAGTATTTGTAAATCATACTTTGTCACGGTGTGTAAGCTTCATGGGAGTGATGCAGTCTGAGGCGTTTACCAGTTATTGATATATCGGGGCGGTGGGGTGGCCTAGTGGTTAAAGCGTTCGCTCGTCACGCCGAAGACCCGGTTTCGATTCCCACATGGGTACAATGTGTGAAGCCCATTTATGGTGTCCACCGCCGTGATGTTGCTGGAATATTGCTAAAAGCGGCGTAAAACTAAACTCACTCCCTTATTGCTATCCACAAGCACACGGTGCTGGGAGGCCTTGAAGACAATCATGGCCAACAAGGACTCCAGCTTACATATGTGTCAGAAAGAACGTTTAACCGAAATCCCAAACAAAGGTGTATTTCTGGGGATGACTTACGTGCAAGTATCACTGTTACGGCATAACATCCACCGTGGGACTTTGATTACCCCCTGATGGCGAATATAATCGCCTCCATTGTTTAAAGGACGGCAGACGTTCCATGTAGAAGTTAAGGTGGAGGTTGTGTGAAGGAGATAATTCTAGTCACATTTCGTATTGATAAAGTTTAAAGATATATAAGAATATGCAATCCTGATTAAATGTCAGTGACACATCTTCCGAGAACATTCTAATATATTTACAACTGCTGCCATTACAAAACTTTGAGGATGTTACTGTGTTTTCTACGGTGACTGTGATGCGTAAACGTCCACGATTGCTGGCACAAAAAGACGTATACACTGATAAAAATGAACAATGTTCAACACAAAACAACAACTTGCCTAAATGTTGCTGACATGTAGATCGACTGGCATTATTCAATACAATATTCAATAGTTCAGTATGCGATAACTATTCTGTCCAGAGGCTAGTGAAAATCACAAGGGCAACATATTAGCAGTTGGAGAGACTGCTAGCTGATAAATATTCGTTGCGATACCGTAACGTCGAGTAAGGCAACGTGTGTGTCTATTCGTAACTACTCGTGTCATTCCGGCAAGCCGGATGACGTCTAGGTCACGGAAAGAGGGGAGTAGTTACGAATGGGTGTGTGTCTTTAGAGCACTGACGTCATGTTGCCACGCCCTCGTTCTGTCTGCAAGGTAGCTAGAATATCTTGCAACTTCCCCCTTAACGTAACTGATCTGTGACGGTTCAGTGGCCATTTATGCCCCAATCTGAGAATGAGGGTTCGAATCCCGAATGGGACTCAACCCCCAAACGTACTACAATGTGTACGTTACTAAGAGACCGTAATCCCAATACCAAAAGTGTATAACAGTTGTTACGGCCCCGCTATTGTTTCTCCAGGCCCAACACGCTTCATTGGTTTACGTACCTTATATACCTTAAAATGACAATAAAATTAGAAGGCTGTTTCCCGTTTCCTTGTCAAACATTAAGATTTCCTGGTTATGTCTTCTGTAAGCTGTCGCTATGTAGCCGGGTAGACACCTTAGGCCAAATCCATATAGCCCGCAGGAATAGTGGTTAGTGTCAAATACTTATTTATAGGATCTCGCATGTAATCTGTGATCTGTTATACAGACCGTGAAACAGGCATATCCAATACTGTTCAATGAAGTATATTTTGCAGGTCCAGAGTACTGCAGTTTGAAATGTCGTAATTCTTTGTTTTATCGTACTAAACTGAGATAATTTTAGAAACTGCGCATAATATCCCAAACAATGGATTGTATCACTCACTTTGACAGGGGCGTAAGAACGGTTTTCAGAGCGGGGAGCTAATTTATGAATAAGATTGAAAATCAAAATGAAATTGTAGTTATGGTAAGGTAGATATGGTTTCGTCTTGAAAAAAGTGTGTGTGTGTGTGGGGTGGGGGTGTGGGGGGGGCCCTGTTTGAGCAAACATCATTGAAGATTTTAGGAGGGGCTGAACTGTTGTTTTCTCTGCACGGTGACATAAAACACATACCGCAGAAATCATAGTAGTCAGTTGTAAACGATTTATTACTGCCTGAACAGACACGTAAGGTCGAATTTCAACCTACGAAAAAACTAAGTGTTTGTCAGCATTGATCAACCCATTTTGGATACGATGACATGTATTAACTCAGTCAGCGAGTCTGACCATCCCATCTCATCCCGATAGTCGCCTCCTACGACAAGCACGGGTTGCTGAAGACCAACCCAGATCTTCTCTGATCACATTCAGATAGTGCATGTATCAGCGAAAATAAACAGGAAGACTGACTGGCATATTTTGTGTGTGGGTTGAATGTTATTGCTATGATCTGTTATCGACTTCCTTTCAGGCATAAGTTATAATCAGCAAATGTGGGACTTACTCGTATTTTTGGAGTGCAATTTGAAACCACTCTGTATTGTAGACGGAAACGCTTCAGCAGATGCATGCTGTCGTCTTAATGCAGGTCCTAGAGGTCTGACCTAGTATTAGTTATCGCGATAAGTTGGCTCCAAGGAGATATGTTTCACGTTACTCGTTAGGATAAAATACTCGAGTGATAAAACTTTGCACATGTGCATTTTAGCAGTTCCAACTTCTGATTGGTCAATTGAAGCCCTATTACGTCAATGCATTATGACGTCATCCATAGTTCGAGGAGAGACGTCGAGACGAGTGGGTATAACATCGCTTGGAACAGTGTTTCAGTAACGTTGGGTGGCTGATCCCATCTACGAAGGATTATGATACACCAGAGTCTATCATACAAACCTTGAAACAAATATACCTAACACAGACCCTGCAAGTCTATAATATGTGGAAAGATTGGATAACAGCAGTTCCGACTAAACAAACTCTCTGGATTATTCTTTATATTTTATGAAAAAATTTAGGAACTGTTGTTTATCATCAAGGCGTGCTAATTTCAGAGACTAGATATAGTCAAGGTACACCCTGAACGGTATTAAGTACAATACTTGCCATACTTACGGACTGCCTTTGAACGAAATACACAGCCAGACAGCAGATTTCTACAGGAATCAATGTCACTACAGACATCCACTGTCCATGACAGTGGTCGAAATGGTTATATCGCCCTGTCATCAGCCGTCTCCACCTGAAAGGACAAACTCCAACAGCCTTCCATGGTGTTAACTTGTCGCGTATTGTCACACTTAGGTTAATATGGACACTTTTGGCCTGTTTTTGTAAGGGCGACAACGCCACAATGTCCCTTCCAGGATTCCATGCCTTTCTTTGGCATGGTAAAGACGTTGGCCCCAGTGTCCAAGATGGAAAGAGAAAAAGAAAACAAAAAATAAACCATGAAAACGCCATCTTGTATGATTACAATAATAAGTGAGTGAGTTCAGTTTGTAGCAATATTCCAGCAATATCACGGCTTGGGACACCAGAAATGGGCTTCACACATTGTTCCCATGTGGGGAATCGTCCCCGGGTCTTCGGCGTGACGTACGAACGCTTTAACCACTAGGCTACCCCACCGCCCTACAATAATAAGACTCCTCGCCAATAATATTGACACAACGGTATACATATATACATCACATTGAGAGAATTAAATACAAATGTATTTGAGTTCTGTAATTAGAGGCAATATTTCAGCTGACAAGGTTTCATGGCATCTACGCCGCCATATAGCAGGAATATTGCTAAGTGCGGCGTAAAACTAAACCCACTCACTCATGGCATCTACCACGTCACTATGGAGCGTTGATCCAGCAGGACAAGACACCTTGCACAAATCAGTCAAGACCATAGCTGTAGTGCATGGTTATGGCTTTGAAGACCAGCCATCCGTATTCATGACGTTTCGAAACGTCAGCGATATACAATCCCCCCAGCGTATATCTTTGGTATGTGTGGGCTGTGGTGTGCATTGAATATTAGTTATAACAACTGATTCCATCAACGTTTTCCACCACTGTATGGTGATGTGTGGTCTTGTGCATGGAACCCAGGCTAGCTATTCTGGAAACGTTCGTAACCCTGAGAACTTCTTAAGCCCATTCTTAACACATTGGCTACGATCAAAGTTAAGAATTCTTGGGGCTACGAACTTTTCGAGAATGAGGGCCCAGGTGCTTGGCAGCTTGACTCGTGAGAGTTTCTAGGACTTCTCTCCTGCCTCACAACAATACACACGTGGTCTCACCTTAGGCAAGTGAGTTTGTTCACACAACAGAAAATGGGTACCCGGTGGGATAAGCCATATGAATATTAATCTTCTAGCGACTCACATGCAACTTCTTTGAGAGACATGCAGCTGGGTTATCCGGATAGTAAATTGAGGATATTATATGAGTGCCCATGTCATACTATGTTTACGACACGAGTGTCTAAATGTTGGTATTTCCCGAGCGAGAGCGAGGGATATACCGATATTTAGGCACGAGTGTCGTAAACATAGTATGATATGGGCACTCATATAATATTCTGTTTATTACCGAAGTCGTCAATAAACCAAAATCTACGTTCAAACATAGGCAGGCTACTCGCCTTCGCCGCATGTAGAACGCAAAGTCACAGATGAAACGTGGCGTCATAGCATTGTTCATGACGTCACGTCACCAAGAGTATTTCTGTATAAGCATCCTATATGATATTATTATAATTGTTACAGACTCAGAGATCCGGAAAGAATTGGTCTTCAGTAACCCATGCCTGTCGTAAGAGGTGACTAACGGGATAGGGTGATCAGGCTCGCTGACTTGGTTGACACATGTCATCGTATCCCAACTGCATAGATCGATGCTTGTGATGTTGATCACTGGGTTGTGTGGTCCAGACTCGATTATTTACAGACTGCCGCCATATATAGCTGGAATATTGCTGAGTGCGGCGTAAAACTAAACTCACATGAAGAAGGAGCTACGCGGTCGGGTACCACGTCATGTGATCAGCCAGGTAAGTAGCATATGCATCTTCTGTAGATTGCTCATGACCCACACTGAAACACGTAATTTCCACGTGGAAAACATTTACAAGTCTCTGTCTGTTAAGATTTACAAGCAATCTATTCGTAAATTGTCCCATCAAATTAAGAAACTCACTGAGTCACGTTGTACTGTTTCCAATTCTATGTGATATATGGTTTATTTTTGAAGCGTATACCCCATTGGTCTATTGGTGAACGCTCATTTGGACTTTGGAATTCTTAATTGTAATGCAACGGATTATCCAGTAAGCTGCCAATTACACCTATCTTGTCTCTTAATTTCATGCCGGGCTGGAGGTATAACAAGGGTTCAATTTGGTGTTAATTAGCCTCAGATTAATTAGTGACAAGCGTTTTAATTGACTTATCTGACACTGATTACTGACCCGTGGCGTCAAACTGCCATAGGTACCTTTGGGAAAATTCCACAAATGTTATATCATCCAAACAGAATTAAAATGATAAGAATATCTTTATGATACCATATATACATGAACTGAACACAATCTCATGTCCATTAAACTAACGTCTCTGAATATATATATAAATATGCAGTGTATGAAATAAGCCAAAAATCCAGCCAGATATCAGGGCTGGTAACTTCAAAATGTTTCCAGCCAAAATGGATTTAACCACAAAAAATGGTGAGGTTACATTCAGATGTATGGAACATCTAAAAAATTTACCGGACCATCGGGCTGGCTAGCTGTAAAGTTAGACCGTCCGTCAGAAATCTAGACCGTCTCAGGCGGCCGGACGGGCCTTATTTCATACACCGAATTATGATAGAAACAAATACTCCATTTAAACTGAACATGAACTCCAGTGTACTGGGAGATACAGAACCTGAAGAAAATCTAGACTTGCTTAATCTAGACTTTCGTATTGCAGAAAAGAAGTAGAAGTGACAATAATGTGGTTGATGGACTGTGAGGCAAGCTACGTGTTCTAACGGGTTGCTACAGTACGGTTGCAATATTCAAAATATTCACACCCAGAAACTGAGAACTGAGAACATTACTTATGGATGCAAACACGTGCTCGTAATTGTTTTGTTATACTTTGTTAATAAATAAGAAACAAACAACTGAAAAGTGTTTCTTTTTTCCTGTTACTTTTTTCCGATCACCCCAGAAACATCCTGCCAGTTTATTGTGTACTACTTCCCGATACATTACCATACCCGTGATGCTATCGCCATACAACTGATTCCACAAGAGATTGATAAGCTCTATGTATACATCATATGACATTCTACCAGCATAAATATATGTATTGGACACGGCTGACAAGCTACTGACCGGTTTTGATTTTTTTTCAAGCCATAAAGTCGGTCAAGAAAGATCTGACCTAAACAACGATTACTCTCACATCGACTTCACATACACACAGCCTTTGTATAATAATTCGCAGGTTGTGTTCACGCAAAGATATATATATAGATTTATCAAAGTACGTATTTGAGTCAAGCAAAGAAAAATGTCGAGTCAGGCTGAAGTAATGACGTATCATTCCCCCACAAAGAGATATCCGAGAGTTTTCCGGTCCAATAATTCTTCTGATATCTGTATGCCGCGACCCCTTAACCTAATGTTCCGCCTGTCTTTTTGTGTCGCCCCAGCGTGGGCTTTACCTGGCTTGTCGTTAAATAGATCACTTGGTCAAGTTGGTCAACGAGCTCTGTCCCATTTATAAAAGTACAAAGGGTTTCGAAATGGGTCAACTTTAAAATGTTAACAAGAATGTTATTTATTACTTCCCGTGTTAATGTATATTTATATAAAAACTATTTTTGTTTGTTTTGTTATAGTTGGGGTTTGTTTTTGGTTTTTTTTATGCCTATTTTGTTAAGATACAGATGAGGTAGAGGAAGACGTTTGTATGTGTGTATGCGTATGCGTGTGCGTGTGTGCAGAGAGGAAGATATATGTCTGTGCAACATGTACAAACGTACATAGTACTACCAACAATTTTATAATATAACAGTTGGGGTAGACTAGTGGTTAAAAGCGTCCGCACGTCATGCACGCTGAAGGCCTGGGTTCGATTCCCCACGTGGGTACAATGTGTGAAGCCCAATGTATGAAGCCCATTTCTGGTGTCCCCCGCTAAATGCGGTGCGAAACTACAACTCACTCGCTATTACATAACAGGTAACTTATCATGCCTTACTCCACCCTACATAAAATTATTGCAGACAATATTTGTAGGATACAGCTTTTTGAGAGGGGGTTGGGGTGTTTGCTATCTCTTGACACGGGAGAGGGGGTTGGGGTGTTGCACACTTCATTTTCACGAGAGTTTCAATGGTCAATTAATAAACTCTCAGGACAAAGAGTTTTCCGGTCCAGTAAATGACAATTGAAAATGTGATGTAACTGTCCATCAACGGAATCCTGTCCCTCCACAGTTATCCGACTATTTTCAACAAATAAAACGCCATCTGGATCCTTTGTTCGAGGGTTGCATAGTAAAACCATGCAGTTACTATGTAATTTATTTTCGCGGTAAATCAACATAAATTATGTGTGAAAGATATATGGTCTCTGGTATCACCCAACCATGGCGGAGGAGGAAAGGCGCCGAAAATATCTGATTGAGAATATTTTATTGTCTGGAATATTCTTAATTTAATTGTATAGATGTAGGTTCATATAGTGTGCACTCTTTGTAGAATGTAAACAGCTTCGGTTTGTAAACCACGTGGTTTGAGGATTTCAATGTTGTCATTACGTCATGGTTTGGGCTATAAATAACTTCAAACTATTTGCAAGACAACTATTCACATTTAAAATTTGTACTTCCATTTACATATGTACAGTATTATATCAAGAACTAATACGGGTCGAGTTCTTGCATCATGATGTCATTTTTCTTTAAGCTAAGATTTCGGGAAAAAGAGTGTGTTAATTACTGACTAAATCACACACATTGTCTGTTGAAATTAAGCTCTTTAAGCGCTAATTACCAATAAAATAAATGAGGGCTTTTCTTATCTTTGTTTCAATTAGCCCCACTATCCAAACACAGCCCCTATTGTGAATTCACTTCCCGGGTAGTGCATTAAAGCGGAACGACCGGACCAAGCTTGCGCCCCATATATAAGCAGTTGTATGCCTATAGTACAGAGAAGTGTTTACTGTTAGATGTTTCGCTCGCAGCAAAACCACCACGAAGAGCGTGATAAGGACGAAATCAAGTAAGTCATCTATCTGTCGCAGTATTTATGTTTATTTATCTTTTAGAACTTTCAATCCCAAAGGTTTAGCGTTTTTCTAGTTAAGCGAGTACCTTTGTTAATTTTGCTTTTCGGTCTTTGTGTCTAAATTTAGCGATTCCGTTCATTGGGCTTCATTGTCCTTTGATCAGCTGTGAGGATTTCACGGTGACTGTTATTTGTCTATACTGTCCACGTAACGGATGGATATCTCACACGCCGACACGGTGCTTTATGAATACGTTTGTTCAATAATACCATCGTGGTGGGGTATACGGGCTGTTATAACCGTGCTGTTATTCTCCATAATGGTTGTTTTGATTTCTCACGCATGGTGATATAACGCGACATGAATATTAAAAGATATCTCTTAATATTTATTACGGCAAAGCAGTTCGGTGGAATATTTATGTTGGAAGGTAGCGTTACTAATGAATGTTCGTTATGTCGCCGATAAGTATTTGATAACAAAACCTGGGCAATGCATCATGATATGGATTGACTAGGCCATGACAAATTTATGATATTTGAGAAAAGATTCCCCAACGCAACAGAGAGAGAGAGAGAAAGAATTGCCATCTTTTTTAAAAAATGAGAATATAAGAAATTTAACGTTATATTTTGAGAGAGGATTTGTCATTTATTATAAGAGGTTGGAGATGAGTATGAAATTTGCATTTGGGGTCCATAAATTTATTTGGCTAAAATAATGTGGATGGCATGATATGATTCAACCCAAAGACCAATGTCAGGAGGGTTTGTAATATCAGCGGGGATCGGGTAAAATGTTATTGATACTTAAGTATCAAAAGTGTACACCAAGGCCATTATCCACGGCGCTGACATAACAGTATGTTCATTAAATACAAACACCTTTGAAAAGAACAATTCTAAATTTGTTCACACATTTTTAGGGTGAATCAAGTCTAAGCCAGTTGTGCCAATCGAGTGACAATGAAACAGGTCTCTACAAGATCAGCTAGATCCAGTTCCACACTGTGGTGTCAAGTTCTGTAACTGTTGGATGTTTCTGTTAACATCTATGACACAATCGTCTCACTATTACAGTTACTGTTGTAATGACACCCAGCTAATGAGTGAGTGAATGTCATTAACAGAGACTGCTTCTGTTTGAAGTTCACTGCTGCTATTTTGTAATGTCTGCTATACAAAGATTATTGATATGAGAAATTATTCTTCCCAAAATCACTGACTGTAAAAAGACTGTAAGAAGAGTTTGTCTTTACACTTTCTCAAAAAGGTTCAGTGTGATATTTTGTCATTATATTTGGCATACATTTCTATATGATTCAGCCCTGCTTTCTAAAGGTCATGGTCAGCATGAGCCAAAGGTCAAGGTCACCATTCAGTTTTTTTGTAAAACATAGTTATGCCCTCAGTTTTGGGGTTATGGTTACGTGAATGACGTTTCATAGTTGCATGTATGCAGGTGCCATGTCTTTGAAAGGTCAAGGTCATCTTTGAGGTTATCATGAAACATGGTTGTATCATTCATTGCTCATTTCTGTTGTACTTGTCCACACTGAATGAAGGTCAAGGTCGTGAAACAATTTTTTTAGGCTGAAAGGGAACGATGGTATTTTGTAACTGTAGGAAATGGCAGCAAAGGGTCAACTTCTGTTTTTCTTCAACATGCAAATCAAATATGCGCCATTGCTACTTTCATATAGTCAGGATGGATGGAAGAACAATGATGCTAGGGATGATATAAAAACTGATAATCGTCATGATAAAGATGCAAATCAAATAAGCGCCATTGCTACTTTCATAGTCAGTGGATGGATGGAAGAACAATGATACTACTGGGATGATATAAAAACTCATAATTATCTTGATAAAGATACAAATCAAATAAGTGCCATTGCTACTTTCATAGTCAGTGATTGCAGCTTGAGGATACAAGCCTGACTGGGTGTATCGGTTCTCTTCCTTGTTGTAGATTTGTCACAAGTGATTGATTATAGCCTATCATATACTTACTTACTTATCTACCTAAGGGTGTGATGTGGCTGCAGGCTTATAACACCAAGCCCACATCTCCAGCCTCATTGGACTGAGATGTCTTTCTTCAGGGGGTGTTTTTGCTGCACTTGGAAATCATTGGAGTTTGATTATTTGATAATTGAATAGTTTGGTCTGGATTCTATTGTTTAATTAAATTTTTAAAATAATGTCATTAAGTGGTCATTAAGTAGCTTTTTTTATGACGTAAACAGGAAAAAAACAACTTTATTTCATAGTCTTTATCCATTGTATTAGTGATCTCATTATTTAGTTATTCTGATTAAACAAGTATTTCCTCGTCACACAGAATGCACAGGTTTGAATCCTGAAATGGGTAGAATATGTGAAGCCATATCTTCTGTCCCTTGCATTAATACTTCTGTAACATTGTCCAACTCAGTAGAATAAAACCTCGCTCACCCACTCACCCACTCACTCACTCACCCACCCACCCACCAAAACTAAACATTGCTCCCTTTCAGCTCTTAATTACTGTAGTTTATTGTAATTCCTATGATAAAGTTAAATTAGAATAGATTCTATAGTGACCCGTGAATATTTACAAAATCTCCATTCTCTGAAGATCAGGTTGAAAGGAGAATGGCCATAGCTTGCTAGAGCCAAAAGGGGATGATAGTCGTGGGATTAGATATGTGAATATATGTTCTGGGGTATGTACCAGAGATTTAGGTCTTTGTTCTCTATTGCTTGTAGCAGGAACTGACTGCTTGGATTGGTTGTCATGGTAACTTGAGTCAACATTGTGAGATTCTGCTCATGAAATCAGTTGCTGGGTGTTCTAGCCCACGGTTGCAATTGAAATAAATTATTTTTGTATTACCTTGCAAAATGTAGCCATATGCAACCTCTACAGCAAAAACAGGAAATAGTGATTAAAATATAATTAAAATATAGCTTGCAACAGCAGAAAACCAGCAAATCAAAACCACTTTAGTCTGCAGCATTACAGGTTCAAAATCCAGTTTGACACTTATGTCTCTTGCCATGGCAAAAGTGGTTTTGTCACAGCAAAGCTTATAAAGATCTCATTTTCACTTTAAAATTTGGGGAAAGTGAAAAGATGAAAGACTTTTTACTTTTATGCTCTGTAACAATTTAAATATTAAATATTGTATGCACAAAACATTATGGTGTCCTTATGCTAGTGAAGTATTATGCATGTACATTATATTGGTGTAGTGAATCACACTGTAAGCCAGTAGTGAAGATCAGTGTTCAGGAAAACAATGTCTACATCAGTATAGATATCCTTCTCAAAAGACAAATCACTCACACTTGAAATACTCTGAATGGACTATTTCCTTGACGCTTGAGACCCTTTGTTGAACTACTCAAGAATGACCTTGAAAGTTGTTGTAGCTCTACATACACAAACATCCTACGTATCACTTACAACATACACAGATTCTGTCTAATATACTGAGAGAAACTAATAAAGGATCACAGGAACATTCAAGCGTTCCTTTAATATGTTCCAGTTTTCATCATCAGCTTTTAAAAGCGCTGTGGCGATGAAAACTTAAAAATAATAAAGGAATGCTTGCATATTCCGGAGATTATTTGTTTCTCTCAGTATATATATCACTGTGACCTACTTAAGACCATGTTCCTAAGAGACAGACCATATATTATGCAACTATTGTGCATATATAAAGTTTGTCCTTATCTGACTCTCCAACTTCTAAAAATGCCATCAAAGAAGGAACTATTAAGGTTGTTCATTATTATTACTGTTTTAATATTGTAGATATTTGTATTATTAATTTAATTATAATAATTATACTGTTTTTATTATTATAAAATTGTTCATAAACCATAATGAATTAGAGTTGTGTGGATGGTAAAAGTTCTGAGCTGTCTCTCCAATTCTGTTTTGTTTCCTGGCTTGGTTGGGGTAATTCTCTACGTTCTGTGTTGTCCTTTCTTGATAATATAGCACACAGATGACACTGTAGTGACAGTGTTCAAAATGATTAAATGTTGCTTCACAATTTTTTTTCTTGTTTATCTAAAGTTCAAGAGTTATTGACAATAGATAATATTTCACATTGTTCTTAATGATGCGTTGTTGTGACATCTGACTTCAACAGACCAATTATATATGGGAAGGTATTTAACGCATGATGAAATATTGAAAGTCATTGGACCTGCTCTCTCATTTTTGCATTACAAAGACAGATTTACATGCTTACCTGACAAGTGATGGAAGACATTGTTATAAAGCATGTTTCTTACATTTTGCTAAAAATAGAATGAGAATAATAAGTTATTCTAGTTATTCTTGGAAATCAAGGGAGATTTAAATCTAAGCATCTTGTAGATACCATTTTATTATAATTTTCTTGCAAATTAATTAAACAGTAAATATTCACAATGTAGACAAACTTTATGTATCACTTCTTTATTTCAAGAGTGTTATGCTTCGATACATAATCTTATACCATTGTCTAGCATTTACAAATTGTTTCTCTTCAAAACATTTCCAGAATTTTGACATAACTTTCATTCTTCAAAAAGTCATTGGTATTTAGACATGACCCAGTTAAAGAAGATTCTGAACATTTCCCACCATGAAACACTTCCTTAATGTCCCCTGCCCAGTGGATGGTCAGTCAAGATAGCCAAGGGTCAGTAGGTGCACCAGGACCTATAGAGTACAATCTGACACATTTATTGCCCTCTGAGTGGGAGATAAGCAGTACCATCTGTGTCAGTGCAAACACTATTGGATGCAGCCGTGACATAACCACTAGATTATAGGGTGGGATACCGTCAAATGTAAATACCGTGAGATACTCTGCACTTGCTCAATTGTTGGTTGTACAGCTTCCACTGTGTCATCTTGACCTGCTCAGAGGCTGAGAGACTGACATTTAGCCTCTGGATTAAAGTTATTTTATTTTAATTAAAAAAACAACTTATATCTACATCACTTA